AGAGATCTTCACGTGTCATTCAAACCTTTAAGTTATCTTCAAAAGCTCTTGGTCGAGTGTCGTTGGAGCAGTCCTTCTTCTCCTTCTTGGGCTCTGCCAGCGGAAGTGGCGATGCATCACCAGCCGAGGCCTCCAAAGAAGACGGTCCATGCGTGGTGTGATTGATATCGCTTGGAGTGAAACAATCGCACATGACCTGTTCGACTCACAGAAACAACAACACATGTTTTTTGGTATTCGCCTTTGAGTCATTTGAGATTTTAGCTAGCACTCACACGAGATGCGATTTGGAGCGCTTTACTGAAAGATGACTTGAACCGCTTTGAAAACACCCTCGCCTCAAAACTTTTGAAGAGCGAAAGCAATCCCAATCATGGCACGTGCACAGCATAGCGCACTTTGGGTTCTGGTGCCCATACTCGGTGTACGCACTGACGCAATGGTAGAGGTAATCATTGAACATTGGATGCCTTGGTTTTTGGCAGACTCATGAATAGAACTTCGGTGAACAATTGGCCTCAGACCCATGCAAACAAATTGAACCCCATGAAGAGAGGAAGGCGTGATATTATATTGCAAACAAATCGAGCCCGCTTAAGAGAGGAAGGCATGATATTATATATTGGTATAGCGGAGCCCTCACCATGTGGGGAAAGCTTGGTAGCGAAGCTTTAGGTATAAGCGAAAGCGTGCCAAACTTGGCCTGAAGTGCCTCAAGTCTGCTTTGCAAAAAGTGTGTTTGTACTCTTCACCAGAGGGGCGGCCGTTGCACCACCACTTGTAAAGCAACTCCACCGGCACAACCATGCGTTCGCGCCTGTCCGCCTCTGAGTAGGCACGATAGGCCGCAGACAGCCAAGCTCCTGGGCGTTGACTGTCAGGCTCTTCGTCCTCCACCATCTGCACATCACTGTCCGACGATGGATCCTCATCCTCTTCAGCACTGCCTGGTATCAAGCCACAGCATGCTGACTGATCTGTGACCGCCCCGTCCTAAAATCACAAGAATAAAAAACAAATAGAACCGGGTGAGCCAACACATACCCAGTTGCCCAAACCTGGAAGCTCCATGGTGGTTTGAGACAAACTCCCATGCTCACGACCGCCATCAGAAGCATCACCATCGCTGTCATCGTCGACAACTGGCGCTGCCTCTTCGTCGCCAGACACTTCGTCATCATCGCCAGGCATATTGCCCTCAATGTCTGAACCTTCGCGATCATCACCATCATCACCACCATCATCAGAGCTAGCCTTGGCGCGCGCAAGTCAAGTCACTGCCCATTGAACACATAGAAGAAAAGCTCCCAAACAATAAAAACACCTGCTGCGGAAACCATGCACTTGACTTTATTGCTAGTAACGGCGCGTGGTCGCTTGTTCGGGGAAGGCCTCAGCATGTTTTTCAGCTCTGATACGCGAGGGTGATTCCCTGCAGGGGAGGATCGCCAAAGCGCTCGCACAGCCCCAACCAACTTCTTCAGCTTGACACCTTCCTCAGCAGCCAGTTGCAGCTTCGACTGGCCGCCGACCAACATCTTCTCCTGGAACAGCTTGTCCAACCTCAAGATGCAATCTGTGAGGAAATAGCCAGACGGAACCTAGAGCTGCGGCAAGGTCAACAGGAAAAAACAAGACAGCGCAAGTTACAAGTCGAACCTGAAATACACATTCAGAAAAAATATTACAAAAGAAATGGAATTGAGGAGCTTTGTCGGGGCTGAACGATATGATGGGTCGAAGCATGTGGAAATTGATTGCAACATCAGCAGCTGAACATCGAGTCAGGGCATTGTCCAATCTCACGATGGCGCCACCTTTCCAATTGCCATCCTGAAGCAAAGTGTGAACACAGGCTGGCAGCTGGTCGAACATGCCACGGGCGACTTCATCAACTTCACGCTCAGTCCACCCAATCTTCCCAGCACCTCAAACTTCCCCATGGGAACTTCCCCAATTGGCTTCACTACAAAAAACCCTACCACCACAAAAGAGCAGCTACACGTGGGGAAACTCTCAAGCGTTTCACAAACAGTTGTTGAGGGACGGCAGCTGCGCCACAAAGACTTCCCGCTATCCTCTGCAGGACGGTCCGGGCGGAACTCCACCAACGCTCCTTCAGGTGCCTCTGGTTCACGCGACTCTGGTCGAGCATCAGCCATGGCTTTGGGGAGGAGCAACTTAAGGCGGGGTCACCGAACTGACAGGAAAGATGCCTCTGGAAGAAGCGAGACTCTTGGCAACTCAGAAGCACGGCCAATCGCACAAAAAACTGAATCCTCACAAATCCTTCCCTGATAAAATATAGAGGGCTTTACAAGTAAGATGCATGGAAAGCTGAAGGCAGAATGCAAACAACTTCTGAGAACCTTCGCGCGCGGATGCGCCTCCAAACGCCCCGTGGAGGACGGGCGACTCTCAAGCAAAATGGGCCACGGTGTGGCAACAAGTCTGTCACACACGCAGCAAAAAAAAAACATCTCTGCCTGAACAGTGAACAAAAAACTACATGGCACACTTGATGGGCACCTCTACTCTCTATGGGGCCCAAAAATTTTACGTGCTGCATTTACAACTTCACTGCACCATCAGAAAACTCACCAGTACCGCGACTGGAAAAAACAAAAACACCGCAAACTGCTACAACACTTTGCGCGCAAGACCGACCACGCCACTTATATACAACACCTTGCGTGCACAAACGCTCATTGCCACGCATTAACTTGCAAGTTCTTGCAAATAAAGCTCTCATGGTGGCGCAAATCCATGACCCCACGCTAGCTGTAACCAGTATAGTTCCAAACAACAAGTTTGGCAACAAGGGGCACCTTACGGTGTCGTTGGGAGCAACGTTGTGCAAGATACAAGTTTGGGTCCTCATGGGTGTCCAGAGACTGCAGAAGGGCCTCCGGCACGCGTGGTCGCCGCTGGGGGTCCGGCTCTCCGCAGTGGCCGGCGCAGGGTCCAGAGACTGCAGAAGGGCCTGCGGCGCGCTCTCTCCGCAGTGTCCGGCGCAGTGTTCAGAGACTGCAGAAGGGCCTCCGGCGCGCGTGGTCGCCGCTGGGGGCCCGGCTCTCTCCGCAGTGTCCAGAGACTGCAGAAGGGCCTCCGGCGCGCGTGGTCGCTGCTGGGGGTCCGGCTCTCTCCGCAGTGCCGGCGCAGGGTCCAGAGACTGCAGAAGGGGCAGAAGGGCCTGCGGCGCGCGCGGTCACCGCTGGAGGCCCGGCTCTCTGGCGCAGTGTTCAGAGACTGCAGAAGGGGCTGCGGCGCGCGTGGTCGCCGCTGGGGGCCCGGCTCTCTCCGCAGTGTCCGGCGCAGTGTTCAGAGACTGCAGAAGGGGCTGCGGCGCGCGTGGTCGCCGCTAGGGGCCCGATACACTGCTGCGAAAAGCATCGAAAACAACGCTGCCTTGCGTTGCAGAACGACTGACGGAGTTCGTTTCTCAAAAGAATTGACACTGACCAAGTTCGTTTCTGACATCGACACTTCTGATGTCTTGTGCTAGCCTCCGCCTTCAGTGTTGCAAATATATACTCACTGTTCGTGCGAGTTGACCGGAGCTCAGGCCCTGCCTGGAGCTCACTCTACATCTCTGCGCGAGAGAAAAAAGCGTGTCTCACCTCTTCTTGCTTTACATCCTGCTAACACTGCCCGCCGTGGTCGGGATGAGATCACTTGATAGCTTTGATGGTCGTTTCGAGTGTGTTACGTTTTGAAGGTCGCATGCGGATCTGATGGCACAATCCACAGCCTCACCCACACACACACACGCACGCCATCTCACTACACACACACACACACCTCCTCCCTCCCCTCCTTCTCATCCTCGTCCATCACATCATCACTTATACTGCACGTCTGAGCATCACCGCCTCACACTTCCTTCTTGACTTTTCATCTCACTACTCCGTCTCCCCAGTGATGTTCATATACAGTTGAAATTCGTAAAACTTATCATGTGGGGTTATCCGGTCCTTTTATTTTTACTCCGGAACGGTTCTGGGAGGTCATCGGAGGCCTTGCAAGGCATCCATGGAGTCACCGGACGGACCCCCGGTGTTCCAGCACCGGTGCTGTGACCATGCGGAGTCCGATCACACGCTGCGCGACAGACGTCCGTCAGGGTGAAAGACCCAAAGGGGGCACCACCCGTGGTGTTCAGTGCGCTGACCTGGACTCAGTGGGCTGACCTGGACGGATGGAGAACTAAGAACCAGTGTCCACCCTCAACCTGGCACCTGCAACCTGCAGGCACTTGCATGCCATACCCAAACTGGGCCAATGTGACGCTGAAGGTGGGGAAAGACTTGGGTCATGAATCCACTGTCGAAGGTTCCCAGCAAGGTTGGTCCAAGCAAATCCTTCCCACCGGCTGTCTGACAGCCCTCTTCGGTGGTGTATTTGTTCCTCGGTTTCGACCTCCCCGTCGACAACCGGCGAACAACGAACAAAACCACGCCCGTCCTGCGAAAAGAGGGCTGGTCCGACTCAACACATGACGTGCAATACGCTACTTATTTCATCGCCCATTTCATCGCCCATTTCTACCCCACCTGAAAGTCACCACTACCACCACTACCACCACGGGTGCTTTTCATGAGTCACGACTCTGGACCTCCGCCGCCGGCGCGGAGCCGCCGAGCCACACGGGCGATCGACACGTCGCCCGGAACGACGGAGTCGATCGACTCCGTTCGCGCCCGACGGGGCGTCGAGTCGACCTATAGTCGCTCGATCTAGACCCCCAGACACGACCCATGGGCACATGGAACCCCCTTTTCCACCACCCCTGGCCGTTTCTCGGCAGTCCTATGGCAGTCCCAGACAGGTCGTGTCTGCGTACTAAAGACCCCTCCTTTCGGGTAGATACCTCGCAGGCTCCTCACCGACCCGACCGCCGGAGCGACCCCTGAAGCCGAACCCCCCCGCCGCCCGATCGACCAACCCCATCGATCACCACGTCGGGACGCACCGGTCGGGACCCGGACCCTCCAGGGGGCCTGCACCATGCCACTGGCCGCCGCCGGCACCGGCTTCTGGAGCTGTGCCATTGACAGCTCGGAGGGCGCGCTGGCAGCGCCGTAGAGCAGTTGCTCGGTGGTGACCGGGGAGCCCTGGCGCACGAAGATGAAGCCGTGGCTCGGGGTCAAGGTGCGTGAAACTAAACAGGGTGTTTCGGATACCCAAACAAGTAGAGCGTTCATGTGTTTCGTACATGGCCTTGTTGCTGTTTCGTCCTTTATCTGCTGGCCGCATGTGTGTGTGTGTGCTGCGAGTTTGGGATGTCCCTGATGTCCCCTGTATTCTGTGATGGGTTGACTCCCTTGCAAGTGGATGAGCTGGAAGCAAACAAACACATCAAACCGCGTTTTTATGCGTGCGTTTTTGAGAAAAGGAAGAGGTGGTCCAAATCCTCTGCAAAATGATGTTTTGGTCCGAATCCTTTGGAGGTCAGTCAATACACTGTCCCGTTCAGTCGAACATGATGCCACCGTTTGAGGCCACTGTCCGTCGAACATGGGGATCGAACGCTCCGACTCCACGTGTTGATGGAAGAAACGAGTCGCATGGAACCAGCTGAGGTGAGTTAAAAACTTTTGATTATATACAGTGAATGAACAGTGAGATTTGATGCATGTTGGGAAATTGTCTTTCCAGAAAATGGGGTTTCTACTGTCTACAACTCCCGTCCAAATGTATCAAGACCCTCCAAGAGCTCGCCACCAGAAACATGTTTGTCTCTTCAGATGTTGGATGATGTGTTTTTTAGTTCGAACCCAGGTGAAAAGGCTACACCCCAGCTCTCTGCGAAACCATTTTTAACCTGCCAGGAGTTCCGCGACGTTTGGAGGAACCACCCCCTTTCAATGCCTGGTGGCAGGGTGGTTCACCCTCTTCTTAGAAGTCCAGTTATACTTTGGGCACCACCGAAGTGTTCACAAAAATTACTGAAGTCATACCCATGTTTTTTTAAACATTGGATTCCCCAGGCCTCCAGTCCACCCCGGAATCACGTCCTTCCCAAGACCCTTCCCCTGCCAACTCATAAGCGTATCGTTCGGTCGCTGATAGCCCAGATGAATCCTCTTCCAAAGGAAACCTCCCCCGATCCTGAGCTATAAGAGCTGTTGGATCAGCGCATGAGCAAGACTCAACAGACCCACAGACCTGTGGTCGATGTTCCTTCTATGGTTCGACGATGGGGCTCAAAAAGAACCGATGAGTCGCAAGGTTTCAAGGTGCGTGTTTGTCTCAGACTTCTGGCAAGCCACGTGTGACTTGACTAAGATGGATCTAGAAAGCCACCTTGCGGTAAAGGACAATCGATGAAAAAATCGTCTCCTAAGGGGTTCATGTTCAAGAACCATGTTGTGTCTTCCGGAATCTTCCGGATGCCCATGGTTTCTCGCCTGAAACGTTCGCGCAAACATGTAGATGCAAGAGAGCCAGGTGCCTCCAGACACGCTCCTTGGTTGCGTGATTGCAGCAACTGGTTCCACTGGTTCGGCCAGCCGCTGCGCGGCTTGAAAAAGAACATCCCAACCTCCCTCCAATTCCGACCCCGGTGAAACAAGGACTAATTACAAATTATGTGTTTCCTCATTGGGTTGTTTTTTAAATTACCATAGCCCTTAAGATTGTGAGTTGCTCTGCTTGTGCCTCCGCTTTAGTGCCCTTTGAAGGACCATCCCCCAGCCCGTTGTACAAGGGAAAAATACGAAAAATGTGACCCTGTTGATCTTGGAAATGTCTATATTATATTAATTGAACATCAAATGACTTTGAATATTGAATTCAATATTGAGTGTGGACTTTTGCAGATTTTGAAAGGTCTTATATAAAGTTCTATGAAAAGAAATGGGACACAAACAACGTTTAGTTTAATGTTGGGTGAACTATTGCTGGATATACGGAGTTTCAATATAGAAGTCACATGGTTTTAATTTTTAACTAAAAAATTTCGTTGAAGACTGGGTCTGGCTACCCACCGGGGTTCAAAGTTCCAATTCTTAGATATTCTGGAGTAGGCCGAGCATTGAAGCCTTTAAAATGGAGTTGGTTGGGGACATGCAAACTTCAATGTGTTATTTCGATGCTTTAAAGGGTTTGAGCACTTAAGTTTTGCGTGTTAAACTGAGTGATTGATTTGGCTGCACCTTGGAAATCAATGTTTCAAGTGCCTTAAAAGTTTTTAACAGGCCGAATGTTGAAAACATGTACATAGAAATTTAAATTCGGTTCAATATATGTACATTCTTGAATTTGTACATCCTTAGGTTTTTTCTACAACCTGGAATTCCATATTGCCAAAAAGTCGAAACATGCTTGTAAACTGGCGCTAACACACCTTGTTCTATTTTAATCGCTTTTGGTTGAATATGCAACTTTATGTATGCCGGGCCAAATTACAATCGATTTATGTCTGGTTCTGGTTGTCAGCTGGTGGTCGAAACTACCCACATGCGTTGGCATTTGGCCAACCACGCGAGCCAGCCACACCATAGTGTTAGGCCGGAAGAAGTGTCAATAATGAAGGCCTTTCAAGCTTTACCTGTTTAAGCATAGCGTCGATCCGGCATCCAAATACATCCAAATACTACATTCTTTCGCTGGGAGAGGGTCGATGGTGGAGCATCCAATAGAGTCTTCAGCAAGATCCTGCTCGGCTCCCACATGTACAGATGTTCAAGAATACCACGCGCCACAGGGCAAATGGGTGAATTTGAGCTGGTATGTCCAGCCCTCATGCACAAGCTGGACATGTAGACGGAGATCGACGAAAAACAGCCAGTCTTGCAGCATCAGCTGTTGGCCACAAAGCAATGAAAATTTAAGGGGTCCATGGGCCTGCGTGTCCTACGATCGTCTATGGCCCATGCCGAAGAGCATGTGAGCAGGCTTGAGCGTGGCTATTCAAGAACCCTTCCGGTGCGATTGGGCAATGTGACCCTACGTGGTACAAATTGCCCATCGAAACCTTTATGTGGAACCTTGTGGAACGTCGGCGTCGGAGAGGCGGCGGCTGCTACTGCAGTCGTCTTGGGCGTCCTCCACGTCCGCGTGCCCGCAGGACCTGAGCCAGAACGCCCGAAGGTCCTACAGCTCCATCTGATGGAGGGGTTGACCACGGTCGGACCACAACCTCACTTTGGCTGACCAGTACACCTTTTAGGTTCCCAAACGGTGGTTTTGCTGACAGGTACAGGCTCTTGGAGCGCTCAGTACCAGCTGGATTCGGACCACGGTCGGACCACAATCTCACTTTGGCTGACCAGTGCAGCACTTTGCAGATCTACATTCATCATTCATGCTGTTCATTTCCTATGGTATAATCTAGGTATCTAGGTATAGCATCTACAGATATTTTAATTCATTATCGCCTTATCCGAATTTTTGGTCAGATCCAATGTGAAAAGAGAATTTGGTATTTGTTTGCTATTCGATTAATTGTTTTCCTGTAGTCTAATTAAGTATAGCATATACTAATATTTTAACTCTTTATCGCCTTACCCGCATTTTTGGTCAGATCCCATGTGAATGGAGAATTTGGTATTTGTTTGCTATTTGATTAATTGTTCCTGTAGTATAATTAAGTATAGCATATACAAATATGTTAATTCATTATCGCCTTATCCGAATCTTTGGTCAGATCCAATGATTGTTTGTTAGATCCAGTGTGAAAGGAAATTTTGTTAATCATTGCTAATCGTTTAATTATTTTTGGTTAGTTGGTTATACTGGTTACTGATGAGATAGGATTTTACGGACCATGTTTTCGAATACACCCGGACACGACCTAGTCATCAAGAATCCTGGGACACATGAGATGGAAAAGGGTGTGTTCACTGACCCCTCCTTTTTCGGCCTATCTCATGTGTCCGCATTGCCAAGAATGCAGTGAAAAATTGGGGAAACTAAGCTGGATTGTTTTTCTCACATGGACTCAAACAATGCCAAGTAAGCCTTCCAACTCTCCATATCAAACGGTGCTTGTAAACCAAAACCGCAGTCAATCCTGTTTGAAACTCCAGCGCTTTCAAGCGTTTTGTCAGCTGACTATGCTGCAGGATGTCATGCAACCACCTCATTCAGATCCTGTCTCATGTGGCTAGGCAACCTTTAGCGGGCTTAAGGTAAAGATCACAGTGAACGCTCCAATGTGAACTTGTTTTGGGGCCCACAAGTGGCCCCAGACCACATGAGATAGGAAAGTGTATGGTATGGACACTTTTTCCCTATGTTTTGGGCACATGAGATGTGCCAACCTCAACCGGTGCATACGTTTCACTACTCCCATCTCATCAGCATCTAGTATATTTGTTCTATCTTTTGTTTGGTTATTCAATATACTCCTATTACAATTCTTGCGTTGAGCAAACAATCATACAACCCCTGCAGCTTGGCAGGCACCACGCGTTATCCAAGAACTTAGTTTTAAAGAGGGCATAGCGGTCAAACTTACAAACCGGTAAAGCCTACGAACATCAACCACAAACAAAATTTCAAGGCCAAACAACCAGAAGGGCTGTCTGGACGCGTGTGCAAGAACCCTGTTACATCTATAGCCAAGCGCGCCGTTGAGCGCAAGCGCAAGCCTCAAGGCCAGACAGCCAGCAGCAGGGCTGTCTGGGCGCGCGCGTGCAAGAACCTTGTTACATCTAGAGCCAAGTGCGCCTTGGGGCGCAAGCGCAAGCCTCAAGGCCAGACAACCAGCAGGGCTGTCTCTGGGCGCGCGCATGGATATGGTGCGGCGATCGCGTCGCAATGACGCGAGCACGCGCCACCAAAAAGCAAAACCAAAAAGGACTTAACACAACAAGTCGAATGAAAGAAAACAAACAACCAAGAACGGGAACTGTGTTCACAGCGGAACGCACAACCAAACAACCACTCAGGTTAACATCAGCTGAACTGGATGAGCCCAAAGAAATTAATCTGTTTGCAATTGGCAATTGAGTTAGAGAGTGTAGTTCTCTTATTATTGCATGACGACAACTTGACACACCCCTCGGTCCGCCGCAAGCCCCCTTCAGGGCTCACTTCCCCTCTTCGTCACTTGTGGCGTATTCTGGGCTGGCTGATGAAGAGGGTGTTTCCGGTGCTTTCACCGGTCGCGGCGGCAGCGTTTTGCCTTCTCAAACAATACATTCTTTCAGCCTACTACTCGCAACAGTGCACTTCTTGCCTTGCGAGTGGTCCATTTCACTCCATGAGGTCATTAGGTCTTGCGCCCATTGAAGCTGCGTGCCGAGCGATTCTTGGTTGTGGGGGTACACCTTGTCAAGTGTATTTAAGAAGGCGGCGCTTGCAAGAGGAACCTGCGCACACAATCCTATATATCCACACAGTGAGTAATGCCTTCAACTGGCTCAGCTGGGCAACAATTCCGGCTTTCAATTCTTGGGCCAAATCTAGCCCTGGCTGATCTGTTCACAATCAGAAGCTCAACATGCACGAAAAGTATCTAGTAGAGCATACCATGGTCCCCCTTTGTCAAGTCCATGCAGATCACGACGGCAGCCAATTGCTGGCACAGCTCGTCGAACCTGACATTGCAAAACCAAACGCGCCGCCCACGGCTTCTAACTGTGTCGCAAACCTGCCGATGTCCTTCCTCTTCTGCTTTCCGACACCTGTTCACAACCAATTGGGGGGGGGGGCGCGATCAGGCTCGAAATGGGGCCCTTACTGAGGCGCACTCTCCACTTCTTCTCATAAAAGAGGAGGCCTCTCTTTTCTTTTCTAGCTACACACCTACCTATGCATGCCATTAATTCAGGAGTGCTAAGTATTCAGTAATTAGTTTCCGACCTTGTTCCGACCTTGTTCAAACACCTACAAGCACACTGACCTGCCACCTTTCCGTTTGTCAAGTCAAGTGCTAGGTATTCAGTAACTAGAGTGCTAAGTATTCAGTAACTAGACCGTGGATGTCGTAACTGATACAGCTCTTGCGAGCCTTGATCTAAGTGTATGGGGGTATTGTTCATGCCCGCGACGGTGTTTCTTGTGCGGGAGGAACGATGGTCCACAGCCAGTGGCTGTGTGTCGGCGGGACATCTACCTGAGTATATTTGGGATACAGGCTCCTCCTGCTTGCGGGTGTTTGTGCACTGGTGAACCAAAATAGAAATTGGTATGTACCAGCAGTCCCAAAGGGGTGCCAAACTTGGAGGTTAGGGGTGCCCAACTGGGTGCCCAGAACATCCACTCACTGGATGGGACGAAACACCACCCCGTCTTGTGGCTCCTGGTATGTACCAATTCTTGCTACAAGATGCAGGCATAACAGCAGAAAGCAAGTGTCACTTGCATATGTGAGAGCTAGTGGCATGGTCTGTGCTCACATGCACTTCCATGCATGTGCGCGCGACACGCGATACCCACATGCGATACATCAAGATTAAGATAAAGGTACTTGGCTTTCACTAGGTGTTCAGATAGCATTGGAAGTAAAGCTCCAAGTGAGATGATTTGGAAAAGTGGTAGCAATCTTTTATGTGTTTTCTAGATTCATTCCCGTGGTTAAAATACAACATTCTGCTTCAACACTTGCCCACGCAGCGACGAATGCTTCGTGCCAGGCACATGTGGGCATGAGGGGTTGATGACTATGGGTTGATATGGTGGCCAAACGCGCGGGGGGGCAGGAGACCAACGTCCTTCCCGGCAAAACCCTAGCCCCTCCTAGCCCATGCCCGCCCCGCGCCACCCTAGCCCTCCAGTGGTTGGACGGAAGTGATGGACGGATCCGGACTGATCCGGACTCGTTGGACCGAAGGAACGCGATCGGAACGGGGGGACGGCTGGCCAGGGCCCCCATCACTGAGCCAGTGCTGCCTGGACCTGAAAAAGGGGTGATGTGAACTCAGGAGGTCCCTGATCGTGGGCTGGGGCGCTGCTGTGCGTCGCCAGGTGACCCCGACATGAAGGTGCTGGTTCACTGCTGGTTCACTCGTTCGTTCCCAGGGACACCCGTTCTTCGGTCGAAGTCAAGTATATCAACAGTTCTCTCTTGCAACGCATCACCGCGCATCAGCCTCTGAACCCTCCGAACTCTTTGCGAATATAAGAGCGAACATGGAATTCCTAGCATAATGCCTCACTGCGCAACCACCAGAGTCTGGACCCCCTCATCTTCTCTTGACCAAGATTTTGAGCCTGAAAAATACAGGAGAAAAGATTAGGGTCATTTAGGGTCTATGGGCGCATGTTTGATGAACTCATCCTGTTTTGAGTATATAACAAAAGTTTGATCCAAACTCTTGCCAACGGTTTCCAACAGCATGCTCCAAGTGGCAGCTGAGACAAATTGGCCGAAGTAGCCACTCCAGACATCCGGGGATTCGATAATTGTCCTGATCCTTCCCTTCTCCCCCCTCTTCTCACCCCCAAAGTCGAAGGAAGTCGAAGGAACCCAATGGAATCGATCTTGTCCAGCAGGCCCAGCTGATGCAAGGCACGGTACACGCCCAACTCCTGGGCCGGATCCGACGGGCGACCGCGACGTCCCGCGCTACGCGCGGGAGATCGCGGGGACGACAAGCATAGTACTGGGAGTCCAAGCCTCGCATCTTGATGAATAGAGCCCCCACACGAAGAGCTGTGAAAAATACGAGGTGAAATGGGGAGAAGGTCATCCAGATCCGACCAAAAAGCCTGCATCAAAATAAGGGGGACCTCCCCGTTCTCCCGTTGTTTCACTTCCGCAAAAAGGGTCCATGTTGATCGGACTATCCGTTGGGTCAACCGAGGTCCCCCGCGGTATGCGAACCCATCGAGTCGGAAAAAGGGGTTGGGACCTGAGGTGAAGAATTGACCGCGGATGAGGACCCCCTCTTTTTGGAACCCTGCAACCGGAAGAACAGTATTATACAGTATATATTACCAGTCAGTATAACACCTTGCGGTCATTTTTCCAGTAGCTGAAAGGGAGGGCTTGATTTCAGGGAATGGTCATCCAGTCGGAATGTGAAGCAAAAGATATAGCAAGACACTGTTAGCAAATATCTGCAAGTATTAGCGAAACTAAAGTACAGTATACACGTGTGTGTATACACATCAAGCAGGTCTCATTTCCAAGTGTCGTTCGCATTTGACCTAGGGATCCATGCACCTCCTTTCCTGAGTTTCTGCCTGACGTCTTGATCAACGTGGGCTGCAGACTTTGGTATACCGTGCCATGGTCCAAACCCCGGCATAAGCCATCGGTCCATCGGTGTCTAAATGGGGGCTGGCTTTTAGGAGATCGAGCGATCACATGGCCATCCCATGAATTCTTCATCACCTGTCCAGCACCGGTCGTGCGCTAAAACCCCTCCATCCATGGTGCATAGGCGAAAGCCCTGGAGCCGCCACCGGCCACAGCAAAAGCGGTGCTGATGCTGCCATGCCATGAGGTGTCCTGCGGGCGCCAGGGACCACCCAGGAGCCAGGGACGCTATTCGGGGCTCCGGCCTTACGACGAGGAACAAGAAGCTACTAGGGGCTCCTGGCCAATTGAAAGTCGTGTCAAAAACATGATTCCTTCTGGTTAGAACCATGCAGAACATGTTTGAGTTCCTTTGAACAGCTACTCTCAAGTCAACCAACTCAGATGCTAATTCTCCTTTGTCGGAAGTCATTCCTCACCACGACAGGCCGCATGACATCCCCCGAACACCTTCCTCCAAAATCATCGTGTGTGAGCCCAAACATCCATTAGAACTTCCCAGCTTTTTTCCCAGGACCATCCGACCATCGGGGTGTCCTGGCTGGACTACCGGCCTAATTAGGCTTCCAGACAGGGCACCCCCGATGGTCGGATGGTCCGGGTAGACCATCCCAAGATCGGCAGGCGCCACAGGACAGATCGGTGCCAGGGGATGGTCACTACGTGGGGATCCAAATCCCACAAAGCAAGAGTTTTATGTGGATCTAATATATAAAACATATTAAAACATTATAAAACCCGGATATGAGGAGGTTTTACCAGTACATGGCTTTACCATCCAAAATGGGAGGGGTTCTAAGAAATCAAGAGTCTACGTCTACATCATTGGTGGCCAATCCGGATCGCCGGATGGTGTGTCGCTACCTTTAACCCTGGAACCAACCGTCTCTTTTGGCCCATCCTTCTCACCACCGCGATCGGGACCAAGTCTCACCAAATCACCGGCGAGGTCTCTTCAGGTCGAGAAGGACCTGGAACGCCCCACCACCTCTTTCGCGCACCCGACCTCGGGGCGTGTCCGGCCGTGTTGGTTTGCGACCGGGGTCCCTCGATTCGGCCGGTCCTCGGGACTGGTCACGGACTTCACGGTGGCCTGCAGAGTGCTCTTGGACACCACCGCTTTTCCGCTTCCGCAGCCCATGGGGCGCGCCGCACGCGGCCGCACCGCGGTGGAAGGCGCGGTGGAAGGCGCGGTGGGGGCGCACCGGCGACGCGGTCTCCGTGAGCCGAGGTGATGGTGGCACGGTGGCTCAGACGCTCCGTGAAAACCGGCCTTTTCCCGGACCGAGCTCACCAAACCGGGCTCGGTGAGAAGGTCCGAACCCCGGCCACCGTTCCTGTTCAAGGGTCGACCGGGGCTGGGTGGATGTCCTGTTCGATCCATTTGGAGCTCGGCTCAGGAGTGGCACATCAAAACGAACACAGCCCGCGGCTGTTTCACATGGAGGCAGGAAACAGGCTGAAAAATGCTGAAAACTATAAACTCACTGTTTGCAAACTACAAAAAAGATCTGTCAGTCAAAAGTCAGTGAGTTTTTTGCAAATCAAAACCGGAGGTGTGTTCCAAAACTCTTGAAAGACAGGTTGACCTGGCGTTTACAGGCAAAACATGTTCTAAGATTCTAAAACTGCTCAAACAATGTCTTTCTTTGGGTCAGCATCACGTCAGTGGCTGTCAGGGGTGGGTATCCTAGGGCAACTGGTTGTGAGATGGTTTCCTCACTTCCCTCAGCTGCCAGTGCTTTTGGACGAAGAAGCCGCAAGCAAATCGGTATGGCGTCCATAGGCAGCGCTCCACTTTACAAGGTCGGCTGCAAATGAATCTTCAAAACTCACAGCCAGGGATGGTCAAAATGACTTTAAAGCTACACGAGGTTTGAGCACAATTGATCTGATATGATCTGATGATGGAGTGTCTGCAGCCACACGTGAAACATCGCCAAACTATTGGTTCTACACCTTCGCCGCAATTCCGGTCATCCCCAACATCAAAAACTACGACGGAATTTCACCGCTTTCTCAGCTCTTATGGCTGTCGACCTCTGCACTGTGCCACGGAGGATGCACGCGCGCTCGCGCGTTCCGCACGAAAGCGGTCGTTCCTCCCTGACGAACCTGGATTTGCTTTGAAATCCACGGTCGTTCCTCACTCGGCCAACACCAAACTCCACCGGGCCGTTTAAACTCGCGGTGTGGACGGTCTGTCTAACACCAACACCGACCGCCAAATGATCGAGTTCGGAAAACCACCCCCAAAACCACCCCAAAACCAGGTGATTGATAAGGTGAACCCCCTATGGGTCGTGGTACAAACCCAATTCCCTAATCTTCAAAGGCTAAGTTTAACTTCGACGTTGTTTCTGTCTATCTTTAACCAGGTTAAACTTCGTCGTTCTGCGGAGTCTGTTCTGTCTAAGACAACTAACATGAGTAAAACTTAGACGCACTGAGGTGTACAAGTTTAACTTCGACGTTTCTCATTGGCTAAGTTAAACTTCGACATTGGAAGTTCTGGGATTGGTATTCTGGCGACCTTCTCGCCACGAGCGTCGCTGAAAAACATCTTTCAGGAGGGACCGTCGCACCAACGGAGTTTCTGACCGAAGGAAGCCCGGGCGTCACTACGCGGCGAACAGCTCTTGGAACAGCGCTGCGTTCGTCTTCACTGAATACTCCGCCTGGGCTGCCAGCAGATTCACCTGAAGCCGCGTCAGCGTCGGTGCGCAGGAGGAAGCCAACATGAAGCTTTGACTGGTCGGGTTTGGACTTGTTATTGTTCTGTTTCTTTCAGGCACAAATGGTTAGGCCCACCCCAGTCATGGGTGTCAAACATCCAGTGGATCGAAGAAAAAACTGCAACCCTCGGCAGGGTCATTCCATCCTGCTAGGACTCCTCCGTCAGTGTGGCAGCTCGCCCCCCATCTGTCCGCTCCATTCCCACGGAATGTATTCGCCGCCAGAAAGTGAGCATCTGCCTTTTTGGACTACGCCACCGGCCAGTCAAAGAATTGGAGGACGCCACCGGTCAAGTGAACCCCAAAAAACGGATTGGTGGACTGTTGTCAGTCCTGAAAAACACCCACCGGAGTTGGCGAGGGTTGGTAAGAAACCCAGGGCCCAAAGAATTATGACACCACTAGGGCAGTGCCGCAGGAAGGAAGCAAGAAACAACCCGGGAAATACACAAGACTGGAAACGCCTACATGGTTTCATGGATACCCCATGCAAGGCCGTTGGAAAAAACGACTATCCAAGTCGACCGTTTGCATGTGGTTTCTGTCCATCTTGGCTTCACCGGATTGGTCTGCCACACTGGTCTTCCACCCAAAATCTTCAGGAACTCAATCCAAAGTGTTTCAATATGAACTAAGAAGCTACTAGGAACTAAGGGCATATAGATCTACGTAAGGAGCAAGCTCCCTGACTAGTAGCTCCTATAGCATCGCTAGGAGCGCATCCCCCAGACCGCTATAGCCGATAGCAGTTCATCCCTCCACCGCCGGCCGCCACAGGCAACGCCTGTGGCCAGGTGAGGCCCAGCAGGTCCGTCAGGTTGTTCAGCCTCGACTGTGTGAGGGATCGGCCACGCGGCGGGCACCCGACGGTCCCCGTGAAAAACAGGAGAGAGAGAGAGAGAGAGAAACAAAACAAACACACCTGAGGGAAGTGTATTCGAGTCTGCGCCTTCCACGTCCACCGGCCACATATTCATATATTATGCATATCAGATCAATGGACATGTTATATACGAATGCTGCAAGACTCGGTCGGTCGGAACCCATCCTCTGCTTGCCTCGGAACCTATCCTCAGATCCATGGAGCCTAGCCGTTTGGAGCCCTCCCAACCCGATCGACCAAGACCGCCTTGCGACCGCCTCCAACACCGAGTGAAGCTCCCGGACGTCGTCCAATTCTGCACTTCGTCCACAGGAAGAGTCACCCATCGAATCTTCGTCCAACCCGGTACGAATTCGGCGGTCTATAGGGCTTAGGACCATTGGGGCGCTCGATCATCCATCGAACTCCAATCACCTGAAGCAGTGCCGGGCGCAGGTTCTTAAGCCGGGCATCCCGGAACCGGTCGGAGCCCCCCCCGTCGTCCCGAAACCCTTCGCACGTCCGCAACCCAGGTCGGCTCCGAACCGGTTCAGAGGGAAACACCGCCTCGGACCGACCAGGCAACACGGTCTTGTAGTACGGAAAGTGGGGAAACGCCCCATCCCACTTCGCCAGCTCTTGCTTCGTGTCCGCCGGCAGAAGATCCTGGAACTCCCGACACACCTGCGGGGTGGGCCGCGGACCTGTCCGTGGCTGATGTCAACGAAGTAACGAGATATCCCTATACCCTGGGAGTCAAAGACAAAAAAAAGAATGGTCTTGAAAGGGGACCTGAAAGGGAACTTCCTTTGCTTGAGCCGGTCAAACAATAGTCTTTGGACTTCTATAGGGTATAGAAGTCCAGTTCGAGCAGTTGGCACCATCGAAGTGTTCAGGAAATTCCTGGACTCGGGTGATCCAGTGATTCAATAGTCGACTGTTCTAACCCAGGCAGTCAGAACTCCTTGACCCTCTCCACCATCCTCGACGCATGTATGGTACATATGCCTACATTGACCCCTGAAACCACCCCAACGCGCATAAAACATACCATACATGGATAAATGGATCCGTGGAGTGTTTGGTTGAGCACTTGAGGAGCGTTGCGTGTTCGGTGCAACGTGGGCCCCCAAGGCCTCTTAAGGGCCCCCCTTCCAAACTGGAGGATCCTGAAAAAAGACCTGGTTTGTAGTGTGAAACCCTTAAGTAAAACATCCGGACATTGCGCTGATTGGAAGAGTCTGAGGGCTTGGGCATGGCGACTTTTACACCGTGGAGAAAATCATAGAACAACCATGATGTGTTTCTAAAGGCTTCAGTGACCGCACCAGTCTGTCGGATGAGCAGTCCCATCTCTGGCGGACGATCCGTGGTGGACAATGGCAAATGTGTTGGAGTGGCCACTGGTCTCACCAGGCTGCCATGAAGTCATGAAGGCCCTTGGACTGCCATTGTGGCAATGGTTCATAAGAGGCCACCCCTACTCAACTCCTGACATTCCGGACTGAAATGAAGTAAAGAAACATCCAGAAAACCTGAACCTTTCGAAACCGGAAGCACCTCAACCTTCGAATTTGATAGCGGAGGTTTCCCCACCCGCCAGAGTCACGAGAGAAGCGCCTCCAGGACGACAATGATGAGCTCCACTTCACAGTTCCCAGCGATGCCCCACCAATCATTCCTCGCCGATCTCACTGGATCCGGAGACTCGAGACCCCTGTCGTTGATCCCACGAGTCGCTCGAGTCGTGGTCGCAGGGGCGATTAAGGGAGGTTCGGAGACGACGCCCTGTTTGTAGAGAGCTTTGGCCGTCTTTCAATACAGTGCTACAGTATGTGCTATGGCGCCATTCAATTCTTCGCCACTTAGAGAGGTTGAACAGCCCTATATAGCCTATGGCCCAGCCATTATATGTACCACCTTATACCACCTTAGTTCGGGTCCATCCCAGTTCAGATTCACCTCTGACCCTGCACCAGGCTTCGGCAAGACCTGGAGGGTCTTCTTCAGCACCGCGGGCTTTCCAGCATCCACCAGCACCTTCAGCTCCCTTACGATGGGCAACAAGAGCGCTCGATCCTGGGCTCCACCCGCGCCCTGGTGGGCGACCCGGCGACCCGGGTCGAGCCGGGTGCTGCGACGAGGCCCAGGTGTGACTTCGGGAGGTCTGGGAGTGTCCGAACAACGACCAGGTCACGTGGGTCCTGCGGTATGCTTTGTGTTACCTATGCACGTTGACCATGGAATGAGTGGGACATGGCGGGACATGGAAAACACCTGTGGAGAAAGACAGTCCCCTCGTTTTGGTGGCTGCGTTGCTTTTTCCCAGTTTCTCCCATTGGCTCCCCATCCGTCCAAAACAACCCCAAATTCCCCCCGGCTGCGCGGCAAGTTTGAAAATCCCGACCTGGACCTTCATTTCTGGGTGTCCTGTCAGTCCCGGATAGTGGTGGACTGGGGCGAAACCAGCCAGGTGACCCCGACATGAAGGTGGCGCCACTTTCGACGGATTCCTCGAGGGACGATGACTCGTCGCGACTCGTCGCCTTCAGCCAAGGGGCAAAGACCTGATCGTTCTGCCGCAGGCGACCCGTGCCGGGCTTCTCATACCCAAAGAGCACCTCAGGGCGGGCAAAAAAGAAAGACCGCACTGCCGCACTGCTAAATAACATCAATTCAAAAGTGAAAGAGAAGAGAGAGGTATACTGTGAAGTCCGGGTGTTTGTATTCTGTGGATCTCAACGCAGCACCGACTTGACTTGGAGCGCGGGCGACCAGCCTTTTGTCCATGTCCATTGTCCTATCATGTCCTATCTTCTTCCTTAAGGAGCTTCGCCGGCGGAATCACAGTCGGTCCTTCGTGGACTCCCAAGGCACATAGAGCGCGTCGTAGACCCCGGCCACGTCCGGCTTAAAGCTCTCCACCGTCACCGTCGGCCCGTTCACAGCTGCGGCATCCAGCGGCGCGTCGCTGGGCACAATGGACACCTCGAGAGGAGGGTCTTCGAAACCCGAGTCGGTCGGTCCGAATTCATGAAATGCAAAAAGAACAGAACCCTGAAGACATCTGAAAGCTCGGTATAAGTGCACGTGCATGATTACTCTGAAAGCCCTCTTGCTTCTTGATCTTTGCGCTCCCATAAAACCGGACCCCAAGCTGATCGCTGGACATCCACACGCCCTGCGCGTCACACCCCCGCAGAGCTCGTCCCGCCAAGGGCACCAGTCTGGTCGCCTTCCGCTGCAGCTGCGACAGCAGCCCGCTGGTGTCCACACAGCCGCCATCGGCCAGCTCGTACTCCACTGCTGCCTGTGGCATCCTCAAGTGCCGGCAGCGCTGCTATCCCTAGTTGACATCAACAGAATGGATTCGGAAGGTCAACCTACAAGGGCTCCAGGTTTTGAATCACAGCATCTCACAGCCATGAAAAAAGAAAACAGAGGTTGAAGGACCCGAACTAGCCTATCCCAGTTCGGTACCCCAGTCAGGTCCTAGTTCAGGTCACTTAACCTCTCTTGGTACTGCAAACAAAACACATCAGAAACATCATGAGAAACCGCTCTCACAGCTCGGGGGGGCTGAGCTGTTCCTCAGCTCAGTATATAACGTACTTCTTGGTACCCAGAGACTGTGCCACCTTGTCGACCGGTCGATCCTGTTCTTGGGAGAAAACACCCCCAGAAAAAGAGAAGCACGTGGTCACGTGAGCAATCAAAGGCACGTGACGCTGTGTGTTTACGTGGCCTCTTCTAAGAAGCAAGGTTCCTTGTGACGCAATGAACACAGACCCATCCCTTTTCTTAGAAGCCCGGCGAGTTCGACGGTTTTGGGGCACCGGAGTGAGACCTGGAAGAAGTTCCTGTCCTGAGACCTTGGCGGGACCTGGCCGAAGTCAGGCGCCTGAATCCGATCGCTGCCGCAACCATGAACCCACCTCAGAAACCTCCCTCCTCCCTCCAAAATGGAGGCGAGTTCGCCATCCTCCGGCATTAAGCATGTAGTAGGCTAGACTCCGCCCGCGTGAGATTGACCTGACCATGTTCTCACTGCGTTCGCTCCTCCTCGCCTTCTCCCCACCGAGGCTCGGAAGCTGCGGAGAGGTGACCGGCCAGTAGAGTTGACCTGCGATCCAACAAGCCCGACCAGGACGGTTCCTTCTGAGAGGTGTCTATAAATAGCCTCTGTCTGAGCTGATGAAGGGGTTGTCCAAAAAACCACCGATCTTGGTTTAAATAGCTTGGCAGGCTATTCCAATTCACAAAAGGGTCACGAGATTCGTCAGTCAGACAGTCAATCAAGAAATTCCTAGACTCCCAGAAAAAAATGATCAAAGCCACCCTGAAACCCTCAGAAACCACGGTGAACGGTGCGGAAGGAATGCCGGCACCCCACGGTCCAGCCCACGAGCAAAAAGGGGTGTGTATCTCAATAGGAAGACCCCGAACCGGGTAGACTGGTCTATTCCCTTCTTCGAACAGGGGGTCGTTGTCCGGTCTCCGAGGTGTCGCTCTCCAAGGTCGCGGACGGACGGTTGACCGAGTCCATGGAATGTCGAACTCGGAGGTGTAAAACATCGAAGTGGAACCGTGGACGAATCCGGATAGAAGAACCGTGGGCTTTTGGGTCAAACCCCGGTTCAACGTGCCGACCATCCGACCATCGGGGTGTCTTCTTTGGCTGGACTACCAGGTCATGCCAGGTCTGCATGCTTCGGGATCGAACACGCCAGGACACCCAGACAGGATGGTGCAGGTGCTTTTGGTTCTCTTTGTGATAGTTAGTGCTTTAATGCGCGTTGTATCGGTGTCAGAGCGGCGTTCAAAACTGAACAGAAGAGCTCAGCACTCCCATCCTGACAAGAACTTGAACCCCAAGACAAACAGCTGAAACTGATCCTCAATTGCCTTGCCATGAGGTTCTCTGCTTCCAAACTAATCACCTGCCTCAGAACCGAGACCAGACCATGTCAGACCTGCACTTCTCCCAAACCTGCCCAGGCCCGTGCCTCTATGTCCCAACCCCTTCCCTTGGCGCGTCCGCCAAGAGGCGGATATTGGCGATGTCCGCCACCAGCTCCGACTCGTTCAAGGCACCGCCGGGGCCCCAACTACCTCGTTCCGGCGCCCGTTCAGGTTGCCGCCGGAGCGTCCGCCATCCAGGTCGGCGCGGCTCTCGGTTCATGCCCCGTAGAAGTCTAGTTCGACTATGCTTTTTTTTGCACCGCCGAAGTAAAGGACATTCGAACATTTGGGCCTACTATGTAGAGCATCTTTCAAACAGTACAGTACTTGGACTTCCAGGGATACGTAAAGCCAGCGCAAGTTCGGCGGACATATCCTTCCAGCCTTGGGATCGTCCAAATGGTCAATGGCGGTCCCGATGCTCCAAACATGTCCAAACCACTGAAAAACTAAAAAAACAACAAAACACTGTTTTTTTTTAAACACCAAAGGGGCGGTTTTTTTCACCGAAGACGGGTTGCGTGAAACTTCCGTTGGAACGGCACCAGAGTGGAACGGGGCGACCGGCCTGGCCTCTTCGGGTCAGTCTATTGCACGCTCCGCTTGGCTTATAAGCAGGACCGGTGACTTTTAAAAGGAACGGTCAAGCAAGAGTCTTTGAAAGAGGAACGGTAGGCCGGTAGGCTTAAGACTCTTCGTTTCCCAAAAAGTTGAACTCTATAGAACTCTTAATGGGACCCTCGAATAGATGTGATTGTAGATTCAACGAATGAGATCCGGCCCCCGATCAAAAAGTGTGCCCCCCTTCAAGATGTTTTTGACACCTTATCCTTTTCCATGTCCAAATGTCCAAGGGGGGAGGAAGTACAAGCGTCGCCACACAGACCCGGTTGCCTTCCATTCAACCGTTGAAAAAAAAGTGGCTGACCTGGTGTTGTAGTCTAAAATATTGATAAATGAATGGTTCTTCAGCAAAAACTGCAAAGATCATTCTAACTCATTATAATGGTGGTGCGAATCCGAGGGTGCACCTTCAACCTTGAATCACATGTACCAGGACCATGACCTGCACCCCGCCAACATCGATCTTTGTGCTTCAGTAAACAATCCATCACGCTCACAGGTGCGACATGGTCAGCAAACGGCCCAAATCGGCTTCCCTGCCCCAAAGCCACCCGGTCCTGGGTCCCGACGTCCACGCGTCGAGCCCACCCCACGCCGGCGACCCGTTCGTGGGCAGCGACTGATCCCCGCAGCGCAGGGCAGCGAGAAGGGCCGCGCCGGCGCGCCCACGGCGACGTCTGCGGATTGGTTGGGGCGCGGACGTGTTGGGCGGTGGAAGTTCGGTACAACGGATCCCTTCCGGGGAGGTGAACGGTGAAATCATGTGAGGATGAAAAGAATGCCGCCTGCGAGTCAGAATCCACCACTACCATACCTGGACCCTCCAACAAGTGTTTCCTGGTGACAACAGGTGCCCAGAAACCACCTGTTAGTGTCTTCAGAGGGTACTGGTATAGGGTGCGAGTCATAATTCACTACCAATCACTACCTCATACCCTCATACCATGGCCTATATGGGTCAAATGAGTCACTTCTAGGGAGTGTAGCTAGCTCGAGGACCGCCTCGGTCGAGTGCCGCGCGACGGGGCGGTCGTTCTGCAACGACCGGGGGGTGTGCGGTGTCCGGAAGGATGGTGCGGAGTCCCCAAGGTCAGGTCATCAGAGACCCTCGGACGCAGGTCAGCGGGTCATGGATCGGTCATGGAGGGTCTAACTAAGAAGCCTTTATCGATTGCTGGGTGTGGCAGATTGTGGCAGCTGTGGCTGTGAAACCACTCCATCGAAGTTCAGTAATGACCCATCTTACATCATCTTACCCCCATACAAGTGGTGGATCATGATTACATTTCCCGACTAGGCGGAGTTCATGAATCAAAACGGAAGTTCGGGGACAGTAGGCCTGTAGGAGTTTTCAGTGATTTACTGGGAAATGGAGACTCTTGATGCACCCCTTTTATGAGGGGGTTTTGCCATCCATGTCCTGCGGGTGATTCATGAATCAAGCGCCTACTGGGTAGACCCTCCATCTCCGGTCACCATCCCCCCAAGAAAAAAACCTCCCTCTCTCTCTCTCTCTCGCACGCCTGTGCCGCCCTTTTGCTCAGAGCCTTTGGTGGGCGCCGTGCCCCCGAAGGCGAAGGACTCCACAAAGCCTCCTCCCACCTGCAGATCTTCCAGGATGGGGGCGGGCGGAAAGTCCGTCCATGGAGACCCACGGGGTTCCCGGGCTCCGGCTGCAGAACGGAGCCGGCATCGATTCCAGGGACATCCGCAGCTCGTGGGACTCGGACCACCGGACCGACTTCCGATGCCAAGTCTCCTCAGGTTCCTAGGTCAAGTCTGCACAGACCCCCCAGCAAAACTCAAGCCGCTACAGGACATCGGTTTCTGAGGGTTTCTGGACATACACCCAAGCCATTTTGCAATAAACAACAAATTGGTTGACTTTGACCTCTCTGCCCCTGGACGTAAAAATATTGAACTCAAATTGTTGGTGGGCTTCCAAATGGAGATGCAAGGGGTTCTGGCATGCCAAGCTCATCCACTGTGGGGAAGAAGGGTCCTCTTCAGGACACTCCTGGTCTTCCTTTCTTTCGCTCCCACAGAGCTCCGTTTTTCACCGCCATTCTCTTCGAACAAAACCAGAAACACCCTGAAACACCCTCCGCTTTTGGCCGAGGAGCTGTCCGCATGGTCTTGCAGGACTGGTAGCAGCAGGCATCACAGGGGCATAGAGGTGCCTCCCAGGAAAGCTAGATAAACGGATGGATCGGCAGGGGATGGCAGCTCTTAAAGGGAACGGCAGGTACCAGAAGAGGTCCCGGACTTGAGGTTGCTTATCTTGGATATCAGATCTCACAGAGATCAAAAGAAATGCAGAGTTTCAAAGTTTTCTGGCACTCATTCCTGGCTGCGCTGATTTTGGGCATCATAAGAATCTATGAGGAGTGAGCTGGAAGCATTGAGGTCATCAATTGAGTGTACCTTCGTTGCCCGCGTTACCATCCCGAAAGCAGTTTGTGCCCCCGAGCAATGACAAAATTCAGGAGTACTTGAATTTCCTGCCATGACAACATGATGAGTGGGGGGGGTGACTCTTGGTGAGTGTCGGACATGTGAAAACCCATGGGTGCAATTTGGTTGATGATGAAGAGACTTGCCGCTATGACAAAAAAGTCATTGGAGAACGCATACCTGAAGAGAGAAGAAATGACCCTGCTGACTCATCTTGAAGACCTCAAGTTTAGGGAATTCTTATGAATTCTTCACTATTTCACTATGAATGCATCATTTAGGCAGAATGACTGTTCCTTCTAATATAATAAAACACGAAGAACAGACTACCACTGGAGGATATTTGGCTTTCATGCGCCCGATGAAGGGGTCCTGCTATGACTAGATCCCTATTCATTCGGATTGGAGATACGTTTTCAGAGACCTGACGGGGACCCCAACAGGCGGCACCGGGCCGTTCAACCCCGGTGCAAGCCATTCAGGACATCGGTTCTTCCCATCATGATGTAAAGAAATGGTCTTCACCTGCATTCTGCAGCTACTCAGTGCTGGATCAGCAAACCCCCCCCAAAAAAAAAGTCGACCCCCAATGCCATCTCCCTGCCTCCCCAAAACCAAAAAAGAACAAAAACATCTGCCTTCTGGTAGTCCACCTGCGTATTCTTCGGATAGAAGGGGCTGCCCACATAGTCTGCCGACATCTGAAAGACCACGGCGTTCGCCTTGGTCGCCAGGCGATCCACCGGCGCCAGCGCCGCGCCACACATCACCAGCGCCTCTGAAGAGGCGCGAGGACGGGGGGGACCCGTTTGGACCCCACCGATCTCCCACACCTTCAATGAAGACGGGTGACCCGTTTGGATTCGAACCAACCGTTGTTTTTACGGATCATCGGATATTCTTTCATATGGATCATTCATACCTGGAGCTTCATTTCTGGGTGTCCTGTGTGGAGACCCCGGATAGTAGTTCAGGGGCTTCCAGCCAGGTGACCCCTTTGAAGGTGTTGGGTATGAAAATCATACCTGGACCTTCAAAGTATGTCGGGGTGTGAAAAAATGCAGATCCACAGTACTCGTGCTTGTGTAGGGTACTCCGGCCAGGAGACCCTGGTTTTGGAAGGTGCTGGTATACTTCTTCACCATCAAACATCAATGCTGATGATTAGTATACTTCAGGTGTATGGACTTTTTAAAGGATTGTTCTCAACTCACGTCCCTTCATGATCCCTGCCACACAAAAAAAGCAAAAAGACCTGTTGGAGGGTGCTGAGACGGGTCCATGTTTCGCCGCTCCTCGACCGAACGTCCGGTCCGACCAGGCACCAGATGGTTCCCCCAAGCTGCTCAGCAGGCACCCACTTGTGTTTGTTCCCACTCAAGACTCTTGCATGGCTCAATTCTCACGTGATATAAATCAGGCTTTGTCCCAAAATTGCATTGATTCACTAGGAGGTTTGGAGGAGGGGGCAGCTGTTTTTCCCCCACCTCACAGGTCCTTCCTCCCACCATCTCCTCTGTTTCCCACCATCTCCGCCTGCCGCCGGTCGGGCCGCGGCGTGAGGAAGCTCTTCGGCTCCAAGGAGGGATTCCGCGCCGTGATGCGCGCGACGTGCGCCTCGTCCTGCGCCAGGCAACGGTCCAAGCTGCCCAGCTCGTCGAAGTGGCCTTAGGGCGCGCGGGACGCACGAACCGCGCGGTGGGGACCGAAACCAAGTTCGGTGGTTTTTTTGGACGCTCCGAATCACCTCTAAGAGGCTATTTATAGATATTAGACTCTATCAGACACCCTTCAGTCCATTCATGGATGGCTCTGGGATCTCGGCAAAGTCAACCCTTTGGCAAGATCAAGGAAGTGAAGCGGCGTCCCCGTATTCCCTGGTCGGTGAATGGACACCCCTTTTTGGGGGTCTTGGAATAGATTTGTGCCAATTTCAACTCCAGGCTCCAGTGAAACGAGTCGGTTTCACCCTTTCATCGGGTTGCCTTCTGGGTTTCTGGAGGAGTGTGGGGGCTGCCCCTGTCACATCCACTCTCTGCATAGGTCGAACATCCACCCAAAATGCCTGGAACTCCAGGATGACTGTCTCGCGATGTTCCGGAAAGTGCGCCACTTGATGGACTTGCCCCTGACTTTGCCACAAGGACCGTTTTTTTGCATACCCTTTTCCTTTACAGGCCGCAGATTTGGAAAGATTTGGCTTGGAACCTTCACCCACCTGGTTTCTCTCCAACTCCATTCCTGGCCCAACCACCGATGCTCGGAACTCCAAGACCAGGTCTTCCCGAACTCTTGGAGTTTTGGTCGAACGGGATGTCTATATATCAGGGGGGGCCCTGTTTTGGGGTCAAATGGATACCCCATGATACCCCAAATCACCTCGAAAGGAGCTATCATTAGACACCCCATATGGCGCCCCCAGGGGCCCAAGGTATTAGACACCCTCGTTTCCGAACCCTTCGACCGCGTCGGAACCGCCCCCGGCGTCGCAGCGTCACGCGTCGCGCGTCGAGCGACGCAGGAGCCAACGTGACATCACCTGGGGCCAGACCTCGCCGGAGACGACCGGCGGACCCGGCGGAACCGCTGAGGGGAACAACCCCCGATAAACCGGGGTCGTTCCGGCGGTTCCATGGGAGATCCGGCACAGACGGAAGGCACACAAGAAATGGGGCACCTGAGAGATTCTGGGATTTTTGTTGACTGGTTTTTGATATATTTCCCCAAACAGTGTTGGACACACTGTTTAGGGGTTCTTATGGTTCTTGCGGTAGGTGTTAAGCACCGGGGCCAAAACAGAAGGCCCAACGACTGTCAGGTGTGGATTGGACCTAATTGGGGTGTGTTGTGCGGAGATCCTGTCGTCCATGGGAGCTCCGATCGGATGGTCCGGGGAGGATTGTATTGGTGGGTTGGTTGGTGCTATTTTTGAGAGAAAGCGAGACGAAGGAAGGAAGGGAAGGGAAGGGAAGGGAAGGTCCCCCAAAGATCAAACTGCCCAGGCCGACTCCGGACCCCTAGAAATTGGAAAGGTTTTGGTTCAGGTTGAGAGGTTCGCGACTGCGCGATTGGGTATGTATGGGTGGTGGAAATCCTCCATGTCCATCTCCAAGCAATATGAAACCCTATAAGCAGGACCTTCCTTCTGAGGTATCCATGAATCGCCTCTGTCTGAGGTGGAGTGTCCAAGAACCGAACTTGGTTTCGGTCCTGGTAGTAGTCCATTCGCTCAGTCGTCAGACCGAATTGTTCAACTAGGTCGTGCCATCGGATCTTTTCAGGCGACCCATGTCTAACCGTCCCTTCTTTGGTCCCATCAAGCAACCTGTCACCTACCCAACCTATATAGCCCTGGCTGAGCTAACCATCCCCCAAAGCTAGCTGACCCAACCCATCTGTGCACTGTGCAGAAGAAGATCGGACGGCTCCAACAACCTCTCAGATTGGTCATCGCTGCTCAAGAACGTCGGTCCGTTGGACCCATCAATGAAAAACCAACAGTGAAAAAAGTGCACCGAAAATACACTCTCCATAAGAATCCGAACGGGCCCGACATCTTCGCAGGGGTCGGACCCGACATCGAAGATTCTTAGAGGTCCAGACGACCCTCCAAACGTGTTTGAGGGCCCAGATTTTTAGTGGCTGGAAAAAAAAAATTGAATTCATGGGGATTCGCTTTTCCACGCTTATTGGGCTCACCGATGTAGCAAAGGAAATGTCGCAGAGGAAATCATGAAGTCTACATGTGCTGTCCTAAAACTCTTTTGCCAATCCATCCGAAGGTCCGAAGGTCCATACTGCTCCAAAAGTCCCACATCTCACCGAACCTTTGGCCTAAACCGTAAACCCGAAGAAACAACTCCAAAACCGAATCCACGATCCACGATCCGCGCTAACTGCGTGGAGGAGAGCCTCGCCTCCCACTCGCGTCCGACGTACTGGACAGCCAACTCCGCCAAGATCTTGTCGGAGTCGCCCTGGCCGAGCTCGCTCGTCACCGAGTCGATGGGAGGGGCCGCGGGTGGTCCGCTCTGCAGAGCGGGGGCGGGAAAGAGAGCTGATTCCATTGATTAATCCCTATGAAAATTACATGCGTGCGTGCAGCCTGTAGCTATCTATACCTAGAAGCACCTGGGGCAAAAATGCTTGCCTCAGTCCGATTTGCCCGGAAAGATTCGCGGATTTAGGGAAATCCACGCCAGGTAGGAATTTCCGCGGCCAGGAGCGACTCCGTTGTTCCTCTTGAGAGGAATCGTCTGGCCCTCGACATGATATCCCCGTTTTTCCAACCAGTCTCCAACTGTCGTGGGGCCGCAGGTTGAAGGAATGCCCAAGCCCGGAAGGTCTTGTCTTTATCCTCCAAGCCAAGGATGCCAAGATAAGCACCACCTCCTCTGCGAAAAGCCAAAGGTTTACCATTGGCCTCAAGAAGGGCACGTTGGTATACGAAGGCTAACCAAGTCAGTAGGGCATGCTGCCTTGATTGGCTTCTGAACAGTCCATGTCGGGCTTGAGCCATCCAGAGCCAAGACTCGTGTCTTCAGCTGAGCCAGGTTGTTGGCCAGAGGCAAATGGTCCAAGATCTCATTCTCAAAGGCGATGGCCTAATGACCGGAAACAACAAAATCAACTTCGACTGAACCTGATGTGCTTCACAAAGGGCTTTCAACTGTTGTGCCAAATCTTCACTGGTCACTGAAACTTCTCCTGGTGGAGCCTTGCCTTCTTCAAGAGAGTTCATCGCTGACTGCTAAGCCACGATATTTGCCCCCGCAAATCTGCCAACTAAGTCATCGAGGCAATGCTTTCTGGTCTTCCTGGAACAAGCTCTTACATCCACCTTTGCCCTTTTTGGACTGCTCAACAACCTCTTGATAGAAAGATTGTTGCTTGGACATGTCGTTCATGGAGTCTTTCAACGGCTGAACTCGCTTAGCAAGTTTCTCCCGATCTCCTCTGCAATCACGGTCGTGGGAGAGCTCTTGAAGGAAAGAGCTTTCTCAAGAATCCACTCGATATCCTCGATGATCGAGGTGTCAAGGTTGTCAGCCTGCTCCAAAATGTTTCAAGGCGCAGCATCAAGACCTTTGTCAATCTCTTACGAGCTGTGAAACCATCACCACAGCCCAACACCGACCAGGTTGTGTTTTCCATGGTTGCATACCACATATCGTTCTGCAAGGACATATATAGTTTCACATCTCAAGATCTGACACCCTACGATTTTGACACTTCTTAATTCATGACATTCACAAAAGAAGCTGCAACTTTTGTTGAAGCCCTTCAAAGGCACTGTTTTTGAATCCTGCCTTGTGCCAGGAAATTTCCGCCGTTGTCCCGGGTACTTCCGCCTTTTTCCCGGGTATTTCCACAACTTTCCCGTGTATTTCCACTGCTTTCCCGTGAATTTCCGCCTTTTTCCCGGACATTTTCGCGCCAGGTGTTTTCAACTTTGGACTGGTTTTACTCCATATGTGCTCATTCCGCACAAGGAACCTTCAAAAGCAGACACATATATGATATGATGGTATTCAACTCCTCTAGAATATATAATCCTTGTCTGACTAGATTCCTGAAAGGGAAAATTCGCGGCAACAAAAACATTTCCGCGGCAAAAAGTTGATTTCCGCCCCAGGACGGGAAGAGCCGCTCTTCCCGAAAAAAGCAAGAATTTCTGCCGAAAGGATCTTCTAGGTATATAGGACTTCGATGATTCATGCAAAAAAAGAGACCATGAAGAAGGCAAGGCCATTCGCATCCTCTGCCAGTTTATCACAAAGGATTGGAAAGAAACTCCTCCCAGTATCATCTCCAAAGATTCCAGGTCTCTCTGAAACCAAAGGCCCCCCATATCGTCCCAAATTCACACGCGTACCCTCGCTTCAACAAACATGGAAGTGGATCCGGAGTAGTTCACCCCGCGTTTGGTCTTCGGAAAGTTGTCTTTCCAGGCGGGCATGACATCCACATAGCCATGATTGTTTCATGGAGTGTATAATATACGTACTTTAGATGACTTTAGGGCTTCCACGATCCATCCCCAATGTAGACTCTTGATATCTCTTGATGATAAAACCCACCGAAAGAAATGGGTGAAAAAAACAAAAAAAACAAACTCTTGATACCAGTATGGGGTGGGTTATGAAGTTATGAATCAAGAGTCCGACGTTCCTCTCATCCCATCCCACCCTCCTCATCCATCCCACCACCTCCCACCTCCGCCAAACCCGAGGCGATGGCCGGCTGCAGCTCCTGCAACTTGGACATCGACAGCTCCTCCGCGCGCGTGGGCGGCGCCGTGGCCCCCAGCAGCTGCGCGCTGCTCACGGGGGAGCCCTGCGGGCTGCTCACGTGGCGCACGCAGCGGACGGGATGAGGTGCCAGGGATCGAAACTGAGCGGGTGCCGGCAGATTTGGAAGAGGCGTTGGCCAGCGCTGCGCCACCTTCTTCTCTATTTACACCTGGGTAGCATGCGTTGGGCGCCAATCGGAGGAAGGACCCATGCGCTCTCGCACATCGCCCGCGGCGCGGGGGTTCCCCCAGCGAGACAGGTCACCGAGACGGGTGGATGAGAGATCGTCGCCTCGCCACCTTCAGACGCGGCGCACGCGTTCGCCACCGGGCTCCAAACGGTGAGGGGTTGGCATTTCGGCTGCAGCAAGGGTTGTAGTGACTATAGTGACCATAGGGACTAGTGACTAGTGGACTTGAAGAAGTCCCACGCCTCAAGAGACCCATGTTTTCCTTGGTCACTTCTCATTCCAATTGGCCCCTTCAGGTCTTTTTCACCCAGCCCAAAGCCTAATGACCAGCTGGCACAAGTTCGACACCTCCTCGCCCACCGGGGACAAATATGATCCTGAATGTGATGTCTATGATGATGAAGGATGATACTTGGACTAGACAGTGGAAGTTGGTAGCCGTTCTTGAAGGAGAACCCTTCGCAGGTGCTTTCGAACAAATAAGACACCAAAACAAAACACATTCAACTCCCTCCCCTCCCAACAAAAAAGACGCATTCCCACACGGTCAGTTTTCACATCTCACGGATCACGCCGTGACTCTTTTTCAGGGGCACCTTGAAGGTTTTCGCGAAGACATAGATGCAGGAGAGCCAGGTCCCCCCAGAGACGCTCGCAATGCCATCGATCTTGTCCAGCAAATTGAGATCGCCTGGCGAGTTGGTGCTGCTTTCGGGTGCCCTGCACATCGTCTGGCTGGTCAAAGCCCCAAAACACCCTCCCGAGCCTTCCTACGGCCATTCTACAAATGGGTGACCTGGAGCCCTGCAGTCTAACCCAAGCTAGTAAAATAAATGGGTGAGTAGATGGAAGGCGCCAACCATGGAGAAAAAAAAACACGTCCTTTTACGCTCCTCGATCTCGAGAGGAGCCGGTATACGACCGACCGATGGGGCCAGGGGAAGTCCATGCCTTTGAGGCATGGAGCTACTAGCCCCTACAAATCCGGTCAGACCACCGAACCGACCCGGTTCGGTGCGACTGGGCCCGACCGTTTTGGCGCCTACAGAACCGGTTCGTGTCGAACACATCACCGTACCTGAGAAGGTACTTGGATCCCTAGGGTAGTAGCGTCCTTACCCCGGGTGTCAAACAAAGGCTGTAAAAACGGTCCCGAGACATCCAGAGACCAGCCACGTCTCTCCGAAGAAGAATTCGTGGCCTTGTGCCGTGGTTTCAATCGTCTACAGTGAGGGTTAAGGACAGATTCAAACATGCCAGTCCCATGGAGTGTCTGGGAATCTTTGACTGGGCCTTTTGACCCAGCTGGGTCCAGGGTCCGGCCCTGGACCCTGGGTCACTCTTCCCATCCACAGGTCTTCCAGAAGGCGGAGTTCGGTCCCAAGAGGTCCTTCAGAAGTCCACCATCACTGGAGTCCACCATGTCCTTGCTTTCTTCCCATCGCTTCTCTACCACCTTGCAAGGTCGTTCGTGTTCGGACCCTGATCAGGTGTTTGGACACCCAACTTGTCAGCAGGAAGCACCAGATCAATCTTAGAGGCTCCATGTACAAGTAAGGCAAGGAAGGCAAGGAAAACCAAAGCACTCAGAGTGGCCGAATTCATTGAAGATTGCTAACTGCATTCCAATCCAACTCATCACAAATAGAGCGAGGCCTTCTGGGGATGTTCAAAAAAGAACTCCCAAAAATGAAACCCAACTGAAATTATCTGAGGAGGTACATTGCACCTCCCCCCACCCCCCCCAAAAAAAAAGGAATCTCTGAATCTCTCACCCCCCCTTGTTGGAAGGCAGGTCGCTCAAGGCACGAAAGACACCCAAGCTGTAGGAGAAGGCTCGCGCTCCACCCCCAGCGACACACAGCGCGTAGGTGATGGGAGGATGCCACGAAGTATCCTCCGCTTGCGAAAAACAAGCACTCGATGTACCAAGCACTCGGCTTGGTGGAGTCGAAAGCATCTTTCATCCGAGGCGGTTTCGACCATTTTAGATCAAGACTAGCTGCTCTTTGGCTGCGGAGGCTTATGCCGTTTCTTTCATCCAGGTTCGCTTGCAGCACTTCTGGTTAGTGGAGTTCGGAAGTCTGGCGCCCACCTGGACACCTCTTGGCCGACCAATCCAACAACCCACTTACTGCCACATTACACCCTGGAAGACTAACATGGACCCTGAAAACCACTGTCAGGGTCCATGTTAGTTTTTGGATGTTTTCGGGAGTGTAGATACTCACTACTCATCTGACGGCCCGGCCGAAACCGGCGAAAGCCAGTGGTTTTGACCAGTCTTCCAGTCAGGAGAAGGTGCTTCAGTCAAGACGTCACCCAACTGATGGCTCAGTATTAGGCTCTGTGGCGGGTCTGGGCTCAGCGAGCTGGTGTGACTCGTGCACTCGGTCGAGCTCCGTCTCAGCTCCAACTTCTCTTTCGGGGGCCCCACCTGCCAAAAATGGATCAAGATGGGTCAAGATGGGTCCACTGTTCAACATCGGACCAGGTGCCGGAAGCCTCGTCCCCTGAGAAGAGGGCAGAAAACGTCCAAGACTCCACCGGAAAACGACGAGATGGGGGAGCTCAGTTCCTTTTCCGAACATCGTTGCTTTCGCCTCCATGGTGCCATCGTCACCCCACAAGAAGCAAGAATCAAGGCCAGTCCACCCATCCTTAACCTAAACATCCCTATCCGGCCTCCACCCACCCACCCGCGACGGCTGTCCTTTGGATCATGCACCGCCTTCACCGACGCCAGCAGCGTGGGTCCCGTCGAGCTATGGCTTCCGCCCGCGCCCATGGCGCCCGAAAGCGTCCGTGTGGGGTGCCCAGTGGATGGCGGGGGACCTGCGTGGATGGCAAGGAAAGGCTGTGGGGTGTGGTCGACTTGGGGAATGCAAGAATGGAAGTCACCTCACAATGGCACTATATGTGGGAGTTTCTTTGAGTTTCACTCTGAACAATCTCTGAACTATCTATATAGATCTGGCTGCAGAATCTGGCTAAGTTGATGGGTTGACTTCAGGTTCGCTTCCATTTCTTTGTCAGCTGCATCTCCCCTGAACAGGAAGAAGGAAACTCGCGAAGCTTTGCACATAGGGTCCAGGTATCTCCTTTTCAATGATCGGATGAGGTGAAAGCACTTCCAGAGAAGGGTCTTGTAAAGGAAACCACGGCTCGTTGTACCTCCTGAGTAGTTTTCATCCAAAAATCATGCAATTGGATGCAATTGGTGTATTTCATCAGCCGAACTGCAGAACTGTCATATGGCATGAGGGGGCATGAAACATTCCAAACAAGCAGTGGGCTCGAGTTCAGCCGATCCCACACGTTTCCTTCGGGATATCCGACCTCCGTGGATGTTTGTATGGATGGATCACGGGCGCATGTGTGCGCCCGTGGGGTGGAGGTACGGCGTTGGGTGGCACCCGATCCTCCAAAGAGGAACCTGAGACCAGCACCCGATCAAAGGGTCGCCTAATTGAGACCTCCCATTTGGGGCCGGGCCCTTTTTTTACCATAGATTGTTCGGAGACCTGTGAAGTCGGGTGGTAGTTTGTGGAGTGCTGGAACCAGACGCTTCCAGCACCGGGTTTGACAACGCATCCCCACCACCCGTGAAGGCATCCGAGGGGTGTGCATGGTGAGTGGAGGTCTTCTTTCAAGCCCCACAATCCATGTCTGGAACTCGCAGTCCTGACTCCCGATCAGTTGGAGTGGTTGCTTTCAAGGGTCATAATAGCGATGGCCTCCACCTAGCTTCTTGTTACTAGTAGGCGATGGCCTCCATTCCAGTTTTGGCCGTGTCGCTCTAGTTCTGTGTTTGATTCTGGAGAGACCACGTGCGTTCTCTTTCAAGCCCGAATTCGGACATCACACCCTCTTTGTTCAAGCTCTTTGAATCCGCAAGTCTTCGGCACAAAGACCGTGAAGAGAAGTTTCCCCAAGTGCCTTTCGATGTCCAAGAGCCCCGTTTTCCACCAAAAAGCCCTCCTCCCTTTCAAACCGACTTTGTTCGGACTGCTGCGGCTGACGATTTCATAGGGACGATTTCGATTGAGATTCCCAAGAGAGATTCCTGCAGACTATCCTGCAACTCTCCACCACCGTGTCCCGGTGACTTCTATGAAGCAAACCCGACCGACTTCGCGGGACATCAACCAACACATGAAGCCTATCAACCAGCGACTCTTCAGTGATCCCTCCTCACGCATCAAATACCAGGTGACGCCTGACTAGGTGACGCCTGACTCCTCACGAGGAGCTCTGCCTCTCCAGTTCCGGGAGCTCCGCCTCTTTTCTTCGGCTCCAGCACCCGGCCGCTTCGCTCCTCTGGCGACAGTCCGCAGGGTCCGCCCACGCCACCGGAGAACGTGTGTGTGTGTGTCCTTCGAACGTGGATCAACGGCGAGAGGACCCAGGGGTGTGCAGTGGCCCCACTCCAAATAGGCCGACCGGTCTTTCAGAACCTTAAGGGATTGGTTCGGGTTGACCCGCTCCGGATTCGGAGAAAAGCCCCGACACTGAAGGGAGGGTCCATCATGAGGTAACCAGGTAGGTAGGTAGTTTTCATGGACACTGTCCATCACCGCTTTGGGCTAATGACTGATTCGACACCGATTCGACCTCCTGGGGCTGTGGATCTTCATTCCTCCGTCCGCTATTCGGGCATATTCGGGCCCTGCCCCCAACAGACCCTGAATGACCTTGAGTTTGACCACCACCCACGCAGTTCTGTCAAATGGGCTCAAACGGTCAATCTAATCGGTGGCGAGGCTCGAAACCTGCCCATCTAGACGTTCAAACGTGGCTATCCCAGGTTCACATCTGCAAATCGCGGGATCAAGCCCTCTCAGAGCACAGAGGTGAGGGTGTTCGCGTTTAGAGATTGGTGTCTGTGGAAGCAAAACGAGCTGAGTTAGAAAGCTCTGACCAACAGAATTTGATATGAGTTCATAATCTGATTCAGCTCCTAAATCCCGGACTGAGATCCATTGGTGCTAACGTTCCGGTCATAAAGCGTTCTGCAAGTGATTGAGAATATTGAGATCGGGGCAGAAAATAAGGTTTTTGGGCGCCTCGGTTGGAATCTCAATCATTTGGAATATCTCTCACGCAAAAACAAAAGCTGCAGGTCGCAGCAGAAGAGGTGAGCAAGGAATAAAAAAAACTTGTTGTCGTTTCATCGAGCTGTCGGATCAGTTTCTGTGTTCCACCCCTCAAAAGCCATGAAAAAAACACAAACACTATAGGGTTTGGAGGGTTGGAAATCCGCCCATTCGGAACAGTGTTAATTGCTACGTACGATCTTTTTAGCAATTCCTTTTCGCTTACGAAAGCTGCCATCACTGCCGCGCACCATCACCTCTGCGCGCTGGTGCCAATGGCCGCCCCTTAAAGGCGGAGCCAACGGGTCGCCATGTCGTGGAGGCCGATTTCGCCACGAGACATACACGGGTCGCCCTCTGGTGGAGCTTGGTCAAACCCGTCTTTCAAAAGAGGGTCCAGTCGGGCGTACGGGTGGCCAGTCTCCTCAGTGAACATCTGGTCAGGCACTATCTGGTCGTGTTGTTGAAACGATGAATTCCACAAGCACCACACCTTTTGGACCTGTTTTTGCCCGCCAAACACCCCACCATGCCACCAAAAAACATCAAAAAACCATGTGGCATCCACTTGTCTCCGAATTACCACTGCTGATGACAACCTGTGAGTGGCCGCCAGTGAAGCCACCAGTTGCAGGAACAACCCGTGTCTGTGCGTTCCACGACCCAAAAGCACTACACAATACTACTTTACCTCTTGGTCGTCCGATCGCCAATGAGAAATCCGGCGTCTTTGCGGCAGTTGGAACAAGAAATTCAGAGACTTGCAGCAAGGAATTCAGTCAACTTGTTCTACTGACTGCGTCCTTTTTTGCCGTTCAAGAGGTGGGGGGAGTAGGGGTAGCACGTAGCACGTCTTCACAACGAACAACAGTTACAGTAAGCGTGAAGGTCTCGGATCTGGACGCGGTCGAGGAAAAACCAACGAAAAAATCGGTCCGTCCATGCGGCTGCGACCTGGCGAACCTCCAGTGCCTCATGGACTGGACATGGCCCCCGCCATAAAACTGACATCCCCCCCCGCAGCTGGGCACGGGAACCCTCTCTCGGACTTGTGTACACTCTTGAACCATCGCAAACTGTGGCAGAATATGACTAGTTCGATACAGCTTCCAACCCCAAAGAAAAGAACTAATTGCAGCTAGCCATTACACCCCACCTCTTTCAGCTGCAAGTCTTGAGGGCAACGGCCCCCCGCTGTCGAGAACTTTGCCTCAGACTTTCACTTTCTCTGCCCCTCTGCCCTCGCGTCGTCAAGAAAAAGCCTCGTCGGTCGTCGGGCGTTCAGCGCAGCAATTGACAAGGAAGGAACACGGAATTGCTGGGAGCTAGCCTTTTCAGGATGCGTCAAGGACCAACAACACTGAAGGATACCCAGCCCCAGATTTACAGTATCCAGATTCATACAGTATTACAGCATGAAGATCCTAGGGGGTGTGACTGTCGATCGATCCAGCTATATCACAACTGGGGGTGTGATCGATCGATCTGGTCGACAGATCGAGGTCCAAAAAGTCCAACTGAACCACCAACAGAGGCTATGACAGTGACCGGTCACAGTCGGACCCGTCACCTGAACCAGCCGGTTCCTGGGAGAGTCGAGTTGAACCCGGGTCCTGACCCACCGACTCCTTCCATGTCTGGGACTCCGAACCCGTACTTCGCACCGAACCCGACCTTACCCACACAACTTGGCCCGTTCACCCGTTGGGACCAGCCCCGAAGCGCAAAGGGACCGACACATCGGTCTCCCTGGAACAACCGGAGCGGATCTCCGGATCTCCGGAGGCACCCAGTTCTGGTGTTCATTCGCTCCATGGTTGGTTGCTCAGCCTTCTCCCCGCCAGTCACACTGGGGTCAACATCATTCAGGTCCCCACAAACACCGCGGCGCCGTCTGCGCGCGGGAACCCGTCTGCCCCGATGCAGGGCCGATCAGGCGATCCGGTCCGACAGAGTCACCTGTTGGGCCATCCCCAGTCACGTCCCAAGTGACGTCCTTTCACAAACAGCACCTGACAGTCAGCAAAAGAACTTGAAGACGGTTTCTCAGGAACTGGATCCACCATGATCCCTAGACTTGTTCACTCAGATCTTACGAGCACCACGTTGGGCACCATGTGAACATCACGAGCCTTGAAAACCCCCCCGGCGCCACCCCGCCACCACGTCTCGCCTCACCGGCAGAAATCGAAGGCCTGAGGACCAGCGAACGCGGGCGCTCCGAACGGGATCGGTCCAACGGATCGGCCGGGAGGGCGGAGGTCAAGGGCGCGCCTGGCCGAGACCTGGATCGTTCCAACTAGGACCAAATGTCTGCCTGTGCGTCCGAATCAGCCAAGTTAGGCAGACATTTGGCATAGTTGGAAGATCCAGGTGGTTATTTTTTATGATGCACAGAGATCAAGTTCGCGTCTTTTCGGCTCCATGCCACGTCCACTCCAACTCAGCGCAATGGCGAAGCGGTGTAGTTGGCCCAGTCACCCCAGGCACTTCCGGTCAAACCATCCTGCATCAATCAAGCACTCTCTGTTCTAGAAGTGACCCACGTTCCATGTGCATCACTCACAACGTTTCATGTCGTTCAAAGCAATAGCAAATACACCAGAATGTTGACTGCGTCAGTGATACTGTAGTACTGCACTTGTTGCAAGAACAAATCACGAAACAACTCCATTGAAATGAGTAGTTGCGGTCCTGGAAGAACATTCCGATGATAGCCATCATCGC